AATTCAAGTGATAAAAAAACCGACAACTGCTACGTGCGCTTTCTGCTGCACATATCAAACTTCATCAACTACAATCTTTTGCTGTGGTGTGTATATATGTTTCAGAATTTTAATATGTCATTTTTCCCTGACTCGATTTATGGGAATAGAGTTGCGCACTAACTACTTGTGATCTTTTTTTTTCCTTAACGGCATAGATACTGCACGCCAATTATCTTCTTGGCCGCGTACCACATGGGGGTGGTTCTCTTTGCGCTAGGGATAATCTACCACACCTTGTAAGGAATAAAAAGATTGAACTGCATTAATTAACTGTACATTATACACTAATCATGCCTTCTTCTTTTTTACCTGTTTTCTCAGCTTAGCAATCTGGACGATTGTGAAAGACAAGTCAACCGATAAGAACACCAACAACTACTACGTGCGCTTTCTGCTCCACATATTAAACTTCATCAGCTACAATGTGTTAATGTGGTATTTTGTATGTACATATGTTTCACAATTTCAGTATGTCATTTGACCATTACTTGATTTATGGGAATAGAGTTGCATACTAACTACTTGTGATCTTTCATTTTTTGTTTTTTCCTAAATGGCACATGTACTGCACGCCAATTATCTTTTTGGCTATGTACCACATGAGGTGGCTCTCTCGGTGTTAGGGATAATCTACAACACCTTGTAAGTAATTAAAGGTTGAACTACATTAATTAAATGTACACTGTACACTAATCATTGCTTCTTCTTTTTTTACATGTTTTCTCAGCTTAGTAATATGGACAATTGTGAAAGACAAGTCAAACGATAAGAACACCAATAATTATTACATGCACTTTCTGCTCCACATATCAAACTTCATCAACTACAATGTGTTGATGTGGTATGTACATATGTTTCACAATTTCATTATGTCATTTGTCCCTAACTCGATTTTCGGGAATAGAGTTGCGTACTAATAACTTGTGATTTTTCATTTTTTTTTGTTTGTTTTCCTAAACGGCACAGGTACTGCACGCCAATGATCTTCTTGGCCACGTACCACATGGGGGTGGCTCTCTCAGCACTAGGGATAATCTACGACACCTTGTAAGTAATTAAAGATGGAACTACGTTAATTAACTGTATACTATACACTAATCATTCCTTCTTTTCTTTATATGTTTTCTCAACTTAGCAATCTGGACAATTGTGAAAGACAAGTCAAGCGATAAGAACACCAACAACTACTACGCGTGCTTTCTTATCCACATATCAAACTTCATCAACTACAATATGTTGATGTGTTATGTACATATGTTTCACAATTTTCAGTATGTCATTTGTCCTTGACTCGATTTATGCAAATAGAGTTGCGTACTAAATACTTGTGATCTTTCGTTTTTTCGTTTCTTCTTGGCCACGCCAACAACATTCTATGACAGTTACATAAATTACAAATTCATCAAATATTACTTTCTATTACTTTATTTTATTATTAGACCACACATTATAAAAGATTTATATATAACAACATTCTTTAGCAGTTATATAAACAACGTTATATAACAATTACATAAATTACAATTCGTTTGTAAAATTTTTATACACTAGATAAACTAAATTTTATAAATGAATAACTATTATATAAGCAAAGATATTACATGAGTGTTACTTAATGATTAACACACTGCGTAAAGCTTCTGAACAGATTATCATTTTGTATGCATCAATTAAACAAAATTATTATGTAAGTCTTCCATAATGATTAAATACTACGTAAACCTTATGTAGTGATAGTTATTTATTGGTATCACTTAAACAAACGGATGAAATATGTTATTCCAATGATTAATACACTACGTGAAATTATGTTTGTATCTTATATGATTAATTTTGTAAATTATTTGATTTCAAATAAATTAGGGCTGGCGGACGGTTTTTCGGTTAGCAGTTAACCGGACGGTTTCGACCGAACCGACCAGTTTTCGGCTAACCGAAAACCGTCCTTAATTGGCGTCGGTCGTCGGCAGCGAGGGGAGAAGGCTCGGCTAGCCGACCAACCAAGGTTGGAAACCGGCGGTTAGTCGACTAATCGAGCCTTTACCCAGCCTAACCTAAACGACCCGGCCCCTTCTCAAAACGACCCCCCCCCTCAAAATGACCCCCTCTCTAGTCCCTCCCCAAACCCTAGACCCGATTCACCACTCACCCGACCCTCTTCTCTTCCGTCATCCCACTCCCTCTCTTTCCTTAATCGCGTCGCGCAGCAGGGGCCAGGAAGACCTCAGACCCTCTCGTCGCCGTCGGCCGTCGCACAGCCGCCAGCCCGCCACTCGCCGGTCGCCGCCGAGCCTCCAATCGGCACCAACTGTCTGTCATCGCCGAGCCAGTCAACAGCCCGCCATCTTCGCTCCTCCAGTCGCGCCAGTCAACAGTCGAGCCTCACCGCTGAGCCTCCAATCGCCGCCGAGCCTCCAACCACCTAAACCACCGCCGCCTCCTAACCCGCCGTCGCCGCCTAACCCTCCGCCTCCACCAACACCTCCGCCAAACCCGCCACCTGCACCCGCTCCACATCCTCACCGCAGCGGAGGCCATCGTCGGCGTCCCGAGCACGGCTCATTTTCTGGCCTTCTGGGTAAGACGAGGGAGAGTGAGAAAGAGCAGAGGGAACGATTTGTTCTTGGTTTGTTGGTTCGCTTTCTTCTTTTAGATTGGAGGAGAAATATCGAGAGAGAGAGAGAGAGAGAGAGAGAGAGGATGTCGGCGATTGAGGGAGGCAGAACGAGAGAGGTGAGGGAGGAGGCGATTTCGGGATCTCGGTGGCGGAGTTGGTTTTTCGATTTTCCTTTCAGAGGAAGAAGAGAATCGAGAGAGAGTGTAGGGAGAGAGAGAGTCTGGGAAGAAGAATCGAGAAAACGGAGGGGTTAGGTTAGGAGTGAGTGGTGCAGATTTTTTGTTGCTTTTAATTTTTTTTTAGAAAAGGTAGTTTCCGGTTGGCCGGCTAACCGAGTCGAAACCGGAAACCGGCCGGTCGGTTTGCGGCTAACCGAGGCGCACAGATGGTCGGTTGGCGGCAGCTCTGGTCGATGTCTCGGTTTGATCGATAACCGACAATTCGGTTTTCGGTTAAACCGAAACCGACCGAGTGACAACCCTAAAATAAATCATTAGTTTCTTACTTTGTTATCTTCTTAGAAAACTACAATCTCCTCGCGCTATTAGGGTTGGGAGTTATGGGAGAGACCTCGTTTGCGATCTTGGCGATATGCTACCTAGGATCGAGCAAAAAGAAGCTTCATAGTGAGCCTATGCACCGTGGCTATCGTAGCCATCACGGCGGTGTTGATGGTGAAGTATTTGCTCTTCGACGAGATCCACTCTCGTAGGAAGTTCGTGGGCATCATCCTGACCTGGTTTTCGTTCACCACACTCCTGTCGGTGACATATGAACTAGTATGTTGAGCTACGATACTTCATATTACAGACTACTAAATTGAACATGATATTACTAACTCAAGTTATCCTTTGACTATAAGGTAGTTTTCAAGAGAGACACCACTGTCGAGTTGTCGTATTTCTCCTCCGTGGTGGGGGCGTCCAGTGTTATTAATTTGTGCATCTATGACATTTTTTCCATGAAAAATTTACGCGGTGGGCATTCGGTATCTATCATTTGATTGTTTCCATAAGTTAGTCTCGTATCTGAGTAGCTGTTAGCTGCTTGATCTTCAATGTATTCTTGCTTCTTGGCTTAGCTACGTGATTATTATTGATAATCGATTCGTGTACGTTCTTATCAAAACGAAAACATGAATCATAATGGAACATATTTACATAGTTTCCTTGTTGGATCAGATCAAACAAGACTAATCCACGGGAAAGAGTTTGCTACTTTTCATATTGACTGGCGGAAGAGATCAGTTGTACATATATACATTCCTTCAGCTATCCACTAGTAACCCTAGGCAATTCGTATGTCAATTAAGTCTAATGGACCAATGTCTCCAATACGGGCCATAACCCTCTACACCCGACCACCCATATTTCAACAATTTTGTCCTCTATCACTTCATTTCCCGCATTTTTTGTTCCTAGGCTTTGTGCCATAGTGATAGAAACCTAGTATGCAGACTCTTCTTCCCTTTTCCCAGTTTCTTCAAGGCATTATAAAATAAAAAAGATAATTCATAACAGTTATAAGTTACTTTTAATATGATATATGCAGATCCATCATGGGATAGCTTTTGGTGGGCATGTGACCATTTTTTCTCATCATAGGATCATAGGATATATGTACATCTCCCACCACCGTCGATACGAGGTGGGATTCAGTACGATCTTCTTTGTGCTGCTGAACCAACGTACCATACTATGTATGCTCCAACATGCCCAAGGTAATTAAGACCATAATAACTTCCAAATTCATTCCATTCTTAAATAATATTTTTATTATTATCTTTTTTATAATCAATATTGATTATCTTTTTTAAGTAATTATTCGTAATTTTCATTATTCTGATAAGCCTTCGTCGCAAGGCTGACACCGCCGGCCCCAGCGAGGCCCTACGTGGAGAACGTCGGTAAATTAGAGGTGGAGTTGGGACCAGTAGCGATGCCTGATGTCGTCGAGGGTGCGCAACAAGCTGAGGAAGCATTCACGATGGAAAGTTTGGCTCAGAAGGCGACCAACTTGTGGGAGCTATACCTGAGCTTGAAGGATGAGCTAGCAAGGATTAGGGATCTCGTTTTCATCCCCGATACAGAGCTACCATCGACCTCCGCGCCTAGCCAGCCTCACCCGGAGATCGAAGAAGTGTAGTGACCCTTTGTAATTGGGCTTTTAGATTATGATGTCTTATGTTTTGAACTTTATCCACAATTTCACATGTACAACTTTTGGTACCGTTTTATAATCCTTTGTTGAAATATGAAGCTGAGATAAAATAATATATGTATTGAAACAATACATTATTAATGATAAAGTATGAATCTTAGATTTTAAATTAAAAGATGATCTGAAATGTAAACGTACCAAAACGAAACTAACGAGAGGTTTATACTTTTATACTCCCCAAGCTCTCTCTCTGCTTGGCTGCTCAATTGGTGTTCGACGAAGCTCTCTAAACTATCCAGAAGAAGACATTGAAATTCCCTCTTCAATATGGATACTGTAATCTGTCCAACCGATGCAAAGTGTGGTGATCAAGTTTCAGCTCTTCTCCGTCCTCCATCTCAGCAATCCAGGCAAACAATCAATCACTCTTCACCTCCTTCCCTCTCTCCTTGTTCACTCGCTTGGCTTAATGGGTCTTGGGATTTTGGTTTCGAGAACTCTGTGCTAATCTCTTGTTCTGCTTCAGGAGTATTTTGAAGAGCTCTCAGCTCAGCAACCTACTTAATGAACTAGAGACTCAAGAAAACACAAGTGCTGGAGAATAATAAACATTAATTCTACTGGAGATATATAGATAAACTTCTGTAATGTATCTGACGTGAATAAACCTTCTTCTAAATTCTACACTACAACAGAGCCACTTTTACAACCATCACCTGTCAAGTTAGCCAGCCAAGCCATCCACCCCATCTCTTCCACTCCCTCAGATACCGAAACAAAACCAAAATAATCGTGCTAATTGTAATGCTTCATGATACAAAAATTCCTGCAACTTGCTCAAAGCCTCACCCCCATTAAAGAATCAATGGAAGTTGCACTGCTGCAACAAAGGATGAGAGTAGTCTACAAACTTCTCCCACAAAGGCTTATACTTCTCCATCCCAATCTTCAGCCATGGCTTGGAATTCCCATTGAAGTGCAACACAGCTCCTTTCTGGATCAAATGAGGGTCAACATTCGTGTACCCCAATCCCAACACATGCCACGTGGGATCTAAAGGCTCAGTCAAGCCATAGAAGGTCAGAAGCCCCGGTGGAAGCGTCCCAAGCTTCCAAAGCGTCCGGTCAACATTCTTCTCCTGCCAGTAGTGGTATATGGAAGTGACATTCCTTTTCCTCCACTCCACCAAATCAAACACATTCATCCCAAATGCCCACCCACAAGCATCTGGGTCAAAATGCTCTCTTATGAGCGGGTGGGAGTAGTTCAAATACTTATGGTACCTGTGAAATGTCTCCATGCATGTCTCCACCGCCCCATTCACATTGCCATTCAAATCAATCGAAAATAGGCCAGATAGATCTTTCTGAACAACCACATCGTCGTCGAGAAATACTACCTTATTCAATGCAGGAAACACTTCAGGAATATAAAACCTGAGATGATTCAGCATTGATAGGTACTTTGGATTCCTGAACTTGATTGGAGTTCTGTCATCATCATGATGACCCGAGAAGTAATAGCTTTGTGTCTCAGCATCCTGAAGCTGCTTCAGAACCGGAACGTATGAAGCATTCAGCCACTTGAAATCTTCAAACTTCTGAACCTCGACAGTCACTCCTTTAAACTGGGTCGTGCCAAACCAGGCCCTCATTGCAGCATAGTTGATTTCATCAGTTACTATATGGAAGACAAGTTGAGCTGGGTTCTTTGAATTAATGGATGTTGAATTGATTACTACTGAAGTGGCAACAATGTTGTCCGAGAAGACACAGAAATGATTGAGACTGTTGTCTCTGAGTTTTGCTTCCATTTGCATTCTCTCGTTGATCTTCTGCTGTAAGCTCAAGTTTCTGAACCATTCGGTAGTCAACCGTATACCAATGCAGTAAAGACCTTTTGGAACTTCTTCAGCGGCTATCTGTCCATATTTGGAACTCTTCTCGGTAACAGAACTCATTTGTTCTTCCAAAGCTTGAATCTTGGCTTTCAGTTTCATGATCATAGTTGCACTATCGTAGTGGAATTGCTGACCTTGGAAGAGTAGAAGTGCCATGTCACGAATCGCAGTGTCGGATTCTCTAGTGGTTAAGGGGACTCGCCTTGTTGCAGCGGTAGAGAGAAGGACTTGGGAGTTCCGTATTTGAGCACTTAGCTCCCAAGCAAACTGGAGATTGTTGCTCTCTTTTGCAATCACCACAAAGGCTTTGGCAAGCGATATTTGGTCACTGAGCTGCCTGGTGACGGAATCGGGACTCAACATTTCATCCGTGACGTTCAGCCCTTCCATAACTTTCTCATGTCTAAAAGAGTTCTGCTGAAGGGGGGTAAAGGCAGAATAAAAGCAACAGAGATGAGAAGCCATAAAGAGTTGAACATAAATAGTAAGGCATGCTGCAAAAATATAGACTAAGAGTTCATGCCGGTGAATAAAAAGCAAATTCCTCTCTGCTTAACTTCTTTGAAACAGATATTATATCTTCAATGAACTATGAGCTTGTGTGGAGAAACACAAGGAGCAACATTCTCCAGCTTATTGCTAGGTTGAAGGCATTATTTTGCAACTGAATGCACTAGATGTTCAAGAACCTAGATTGTCACCCTAGTCTATTGCAGCATCTTCTATATCCAAATGAGTGTTTTACACTTCATCATGGCTTCTGACAAAGCCGAGGCAGTCTAATGTAGCCCTGAGCCTTGTTCAGTTTGCCTATACAGAATGCATAACTTTCACAATCTTCCACATTTAGAAATTTTTGCTTGTGTTTGCGTTCAAATAATCCAAATCCATACACATGGTAAGTGCATAAACTTCCAATTCTCTTAGTTTACACTTTTCCTTTCGAAACCAATATGATAATCCAAAGTTTGTTGCAAGGACATCATTATCATGACTTTTATGGATATAATTGAAATCTATGCCTGATAATTTAAGTTCATAATGTTCTGGTTTTTGGATAACACAAATTCTTTGAGGCAGTTGAATATAAACCTAACCTGCAACTCTTATCGTCACTGGCGAATTACATACTCCCACTTTCTGTAATGGTCCTAAACAAACCAAAAGAATACAGTATATGCACAGGTCGCCCTAATCACAAGGAACTTGACGAGAGAATCCACTCTCCAACAATGTGTCAGACAAAGTTGACTTCCTCAAATCTAAGACTTGAAACCTGCTCTGCAACCTAATGGAGCCAAACCACAGACAACCACCTGGTGAAGGATTCAATAAATATTATTCCCCAGGAAAATTCGCGACTCGGAACCCTAACCATAAGTAAAGTTGAATCCTACCGTGCTATAGAACATCCCAATCTAGCAAAACTACTTCTAGATCAAATCAAGTGTCCTGCATACACACTAATCCAGTTTATATAGTTAGTTACAACAAGCTTTCTGCCAATGAAGAATGCTACCCAGGTTTAAATCAAGAGCTATTCTTAACCTTACTGGGTATCCCCACCACCCACATTATCCCAGAAACACATCAAACCACAAAGTTCCCACAACTGGAAATAGTTTGAACATACAAGCACATACGAACAAAGGAGGAGAACACATAATAAAGCATAGATCTTTACCTTACTGATCGAATGCTTAGATTCAATTTGGCTCTCTTTGCTGAAAATCACTATAAACAAGAGCACAACTATTCCACAGAGCGTCCACCACACCACATTCGATAACCTCCTCCTGACGGGCCGTCGGAAATCCACCGGCCTCCGCCTCATCTCCAATCCGCCCCACTTTCCACCGGTTCCCAGAAACCCGGAAATCGGTCTTCACGGCACCAAATCGGAATGGGTTCCAAAATAGTCGGCAGTGTAGAACGATCAGGAAGAATCGGAATTGAAGATCTGAAGAAGCCAGCTAAGGAAACCGAAAGCTAAGATAGTGATTTTGGTGGGTTCTTATTTGATGCGACGGATTTGCGGATTTGACTGCTCAAGTATGAATGTGAGAGAGAGGAGGAACTGAGGAGAGGGCTTTCGCTGCCGTAGGAGGAAGAAGGAGGAGGACAATTATACAGTTATGATGGTTACTCGTGATTTCGTGAAGCTATAGAAGGGAATTTTCAGACTTTCATTCCTTTCTTTTAAAAATTATTACTATTGGCTGAAATAAATAGCGATTAAATATGAGGTTTTAAGAGATAATAATTTAAAAAATAGTTTAAGTGTTACAAAAAAAATTAGTTTAAGATTTGATCATTGGAACGGCTCAAGTATGCACACATCAATAACCAAATCTGGACCTTTCATTTAGAAAATCCTGATCTAAGTATTGGAGAATTAAATGTCATTTTTTATTTTTCCTAGATTTCTTAATCGGCTCATATCTTCTTCTTTTTTAACTCAAGATTTTTTTTCTGCACAAATAGAACGAGTTCATCGTGCTCTACAAAATGAGATCTAATATTTTTTTAGAAAAAAAATTCTTGCCTCTCGGTACCAACTGCATACCATATGGTATCTTCTTCGTTTTTAATTCAATTTTGAAAACGTTTGCACAGAAGGGACAAGTTCATCATGATTTATTGGATCTACAAATTTCTAGGTGAACAAATTACAGGACCAAAAAATACCACACAATACCACCCTGGTATGAGGTGGTATCTTGTGGTACACAATGTTAAAAGTTGTAAATGACAGTTAATATACTTCTATTATCATGTATTCAACCATCCTACAGTCTTGGTTTGTTCATACCACTATGGTACGCTTTTCAAACCATATGTATGCTCTTATTTCAATACCAATCAACATCATATGGTACAGATTAGTAAAAAATGGCTCAATGTTTTTGTTCGAAAAATATATCAAAGTGGATATCATTTTGAAAAGCACAATTAATCTTATCTAACTGTGCAAAAAAATTTTTTTTACTAAAAACGAGTGAGAAATCGTCCGTCAAAGATTAAGGAGGAGACAATTAAAGGCTTTCTAGGAGAGAGAGAGATGCTGATGTCATGCTGATGTGGACGGGTTACTCATGGTTACTCACCGTAAGGTTACTGACCTGGACTCAAGATAGGGTGCATAACCATGAGTTATGCACACATCAATAACTAAATCTAGACCCTTCATTCAGAAAATTCAGATCTAAGGATGGAGAATTAAAGTTCATTTTAATTTACTCTTGTTTTCTTAATCGGCTCATATCTTCTTCGTTTGAACTCGGATTTCAATTTTTTTTTGCAAAGATGAAACGAGTTCGTTGTGCTCTACAAAATGAGATCCATTTTCAATATTTTTTTAGAGAAAAAATTCTTGCTTCTCGGTACCAACTACATACCATATGGTATCTTCTTCGTTTTTAATTCGTTTTTGAAAACGTTTGCACAGAAGGAACGAGTTCATCATGATCTATTGGATCTACAAATTTCTGGGTGACCAAATTTCAGGACAAAAAAAAAAATACCACACAATACCACCCTGGTACGGGGTGGTATCTTGTGGTACACAATGTTAAAAGTCGTAAATGACAGTTAATATACTTGTACTATTATGTATTCAACCATTCTACATTCTTGGTTTGTTCATACCACCATGGTACGCTTTTCAAACCATAGGTATGCTCTTATTTCAATACCAGTCAATACCATATGGTATAGACTGGTAAAAAATGGTTCAATTTTTTTGTTTCAAAAATATATCAAATTGGATATCATTTTGAAGAGAACAATTAATCTGATCTAACTGTGCAAAAAAATTAAATTTCGACTTAAAACTAGTGAGAAATCGTTTGTCAAAGATTAAGGAGCGAAAAATTAAAGGCTTTCAAGGAGGGAGAGAGAGATGCTGATGTCTTGCTGATTTGGATGAGTTACTCATGGTTACTCATCATAAGGTTACTTACTTGATCCGTTCCCCATGGTTACTCATCATAAGGTTTGTTCATACCACCATGGAACAGGGAACGGATGAGGTCAGTAACCTTATGGTGAGTAACCATGAGTAACACATCCACATCAGCATGACATCAACATCCCTTTCTCTCATGGAAAGTCTTTAATTTTCCACTCCCTTTCTCTTCAAAATGATGTACACTTTGATATATTTTTCGAACAAAAAAAAGTTGACCAATTTTCTACCAGTCTATACCATATGGTATTGACTATTATTGAAATAAGAGCAAACCTATGGTTTGAAAAGCGTACCATGGTGGTATGAACAAACCAAGACTGTAGGATGGTTGAATACATGATAGTAGAAGTATATTAACTGTCATTTACGACTTTTAACATTGTGTACCATAAGATACTACCCGGTACCATGGTGGTATTGTATGGTATTTTTTGGTCCTGTAATTTGTTCACCCAGAAATTTGTAGATCCAATAGATCATGATGAACTCGTCCCTTCTCTGTAAACGTTTTAAAAAATGAATTAAAAACGAAGAAGATACCATATGGTACGCAGTTGATACCGAGAGGCAATAATTGTTTTTCTCGAAAAAAATATTGAAAATAGATCTCATTTTGTAGAGCACGATGAACTCGTTCCATCTGTGAAAAAAAAATTCAAGTTAAAATGAAGAAGATATGAGCCGATAAAGAAAGCTAGGAAAAATAAAAATGACCTTTAATTCTCTATGATTAGATCTTAATTTTCTAAATGAAGAGTCTAGATTTGGTTATTGATGGGATGGGTTATGCACCCTATCTTGAGCCCCAATTATAGCTTAAGTGTTAATAAAAATACTTATGTTCTCTCACCACAAAAATGTACTTATTTTCAAAATTTCAAATAAATTGACAATTTTTTCAAATTTTCTGATTAATAAAACATTTTCGATCAATCTTTTATCAAATTTGTTACTCATCCAAGACTAGTTTACGTGGTTGTTATGTTACTCATATTCAGTTAATTTTAAAATCTTAAAAAATATCTTGTCTTAACATGTTAGAGTTTTTTATGGGCTAAATAAACTAAAACACGCAAACTATAAAATAAAAGTTATTTTTACTATACTAGATTGTACCCCGACCCGTTGGCCGGTTGCAATATGATAACACCAATTAAAAAAAGTTTAAAGTTTAAATTTCAATAATATTCCTTTTCTTATATATTTATATATTTGTGTCATGATTATATTATATGTCAGTGTCATGCGAATTAACAAACAATAATATCAATTTTACTAAATAGCAAGACAGTTTCTTAATTTTGACCACGGAGAAAGTCTAATTTTTCAATTGCTTGGAAAATAGAAAATGAGCATCCATAAGAATGATTACTAACATTGTAAACAATGCCTTCTATAAGTTTAATGATATGATATGATATAAACTTAATGATACGTATTATATTATAAAATGATATGAAATTAAAAAGATAGAACTCATGCAAGGATATATAAACTTATAATAAATTTAATGATATGATATTATAGGTATTCCAAAATGACCAATATCTAGTTTCTTTGTTTCTTATTATCCAGTTTTAGAAAATGATTGTAATCGTATAAGTTTGTTTAGGTAGGAAGGAGTCTGATAGGTAGAAATTGGTAGAAGATTACTGGTGGTTTTTTTGGTCCTACAGATCCAGGGGCGGAGCTAGGAATTGACGTTCGGGGGGGGGGGGGGGGGGGCGAATTTTTATTCGATTACAACAAAAATTCGTTAAAATAAATTAAAATAGTAAAAGACAAATATATGTTAATATTATGATAACGGTATTTTTGAATTTTATTAAATAACTCAAAATAAAAATTTTAACTACAAATTTCTATCCTATTAGGTTTAATATAAATTATAAAATAAACAAACAAATACTAATTCATTTCAATATTATATAGCACGTTCTATTTTCACTTAAAATAAGATGTGAGCTAAAATTTGGCTCATTTAGAATAGAAATATAAGAAATTAATAGTACATTAAAATTAAATATACCGTTTTTAAAAGAAGCATTCCACTTTGGACTTAGGAAAACAAAATGGCTGGACCTATCACCTATGGTTGAGCATTTTACTCTGCACTTAAGCAAATAAAATGGCTGGACTACACAAAATAAAATGACCCAGCAGAAAATAAAATGGCTGACAACACAAAATTAGAAGGCCCAGTTGAAGCAGAAAATAAAATGGCTGACAACACAAAATTAGAAGGCCCAGTTGAAGCTTCGAACCACGGACCTCTCTAAAACTAATATGGATATTTTCCGCTGCACTGAAATGATATTTTGATGACATTAGTTAACTTGAATGGATTTTATATTGAAACTTTAGTTTATACGAAATTTTCAATATGCTCGATACACGCAACTTCAAAATTCTCGTGGGGCCGGGGCCCCCCCGAGGACCTACCTAGCTCCGCCCCTGTACAGATCAAAGGGTACTTTCCATTCTGGAATTTCCCTTTCGTTGTATCAGAGTGTGGAATGTGTTTGCCTTTGCACTTTTTCTTGTTAATAAAATGGGAACTGATTCAACGAAGAAAAAAAATGACCAATATCAATACCTCTTTACTATCAAGAATCTTCATAATCAACTTCATTATATTCATCATCAACTAACACTTCTCTCACTATAACACATTTCTTGTAGGAATGTTGATAACTTTTCCATATACACGCATTTTCCTTTAATAAAAAGCACATTTTCTTCTTGGTAATTTTTTCAATGATTAATCAGTTCTCTTCAACTCTAACTTATGTTAATTAATTTGTGAAAGTTTAAAATGGACAGTAATAATTTTGTAATGTCAAGCAGTGTGAAATAGTTAGAGAGATTATAAACAATTGATAGTTGTTCATGTCATTATAAAATTTATTTTCCGCCTCACATAGAGACTAATAATAGTCAATCACACCTTTTGGTGGTATGAAAATGAATCTATTTTCCTAAATCAAATGTGACATGAACACACATTAAATTATAAGATGCATACAATTAAAAATTATCTGTAAAAAAGAAAATCAATCACAATATTTAATTGTTTGGATGATTCTCTACGGAAAATATTTCTTTCAAGCATTGAACTACAAAATTTGTAGTCGTAAAAATATTAGTCTAAATAATATATAAGTAAAATAGTTGATGATGGAGAGGATTCTAACATGAACATGACAACCTTA